GAAATGTGAAAATGTTGTGAAATGATTTCTGCAGAAGTTTCTTTTTCCTTTGACTATCTAAAAAGACACAGGAAAATATATAAACAAGCAAAGCTGAAAATATTTGGGAATTAACAATGAAACATGCTAAACTGTGACTCTTGGATTATTCTCATTTAAATATTCACATTTAAATATTCTAGAAATTAGATGTTAAACTGAGGAAAATTGTGGAAACAGTATATAAATGAATGATTCCAGGAAATGGGATATAATATTGCAAGTCCTGAAAGTGACTATTTAGCTAGTTTTGGTAACTGAAACTGAACGTGGGGTAATGCTTTAGAAATAATCTATTGTAAAAAATGATATTGTTGGTAGCCTTAAGTACTTTACCAATATATATGTGGATGGATCCTAGTTGGCCTGTTTATAATTTATTTGAAAGTCATCTTTCTTGTCAAAGTAGATAGATACATTTTAAAAGTGAGATATACAAAAAAAATGGATTTAATAATGGGGTTTGCCATTTTATAGGTATTGTGGGTTTTCTTACAGTCCTTAAACCTGTTTGCTGGAACATGCTTCAAAATGATTGAAGCAGACTGTTTTCTGGCACTTAATAGCACCACTTCTGATATGCAAACCCCTGGCAAGCATTCCAACACCACTCTCCAGTGTGAAATTGACAGGGAATAACATAAGGGCTCAGAGACTGGCAATATTGTAAAAGTGTATGTATTTTGGGAGGGCAGGTAGGATTAAATTTGTATTTGCCATCATCAAATCTATCTTTAGGGGGCTTGCATGAGTAAATCGACTATAGCACTGGAAATCTTTGACCATGAAGTAAATTCATGAGCAAAGGTGACGTTAGAAAACTGTGATAGCAAGGGAGGACCTCATTTTATTTAATGGACAGAAGTGTGAAATACACACTTTTTCAGCTAGCACTGCAGATGACTACACAGGCAGCCAAGGGAGGTGCAGCAAGAGGAAAGAGCAGATTTATGTGAAAAACGTCACAGTGGCTGTGACACAAAACCAGCAAAATAGGCCTCTTGTAAGGTTTTGTGACTTAGTGAAAAATACTCACTTTCTGGCTGGTGCAATGTAGCCAGTTTCACCCTAAAATTATTGGCTGTGGTTGATTCTGGGTTTTTTTGGTATGTTTGCCTTTTCTTTTTGTCATCACCAGTGAAGCTACTGCTCCATGAACGGAAACAAAACTTGTTTATTGCAATGGAGTCAGGCGAGCTGAAGGTCAAAGTTTAAAGGTGGATTGCTGCATCACTGGGCCTTGCTATGAGTCTTATCCATGTGACCAGAGATGCTCATTATCACAATAGTGAGACCTTTAAATACGGGAGAGCTACAGTAACCACTGGAGACTAAAAGAAAACAGTTCAGCAAAATGCATATTTTAAAAAAGTGCTCCTTCTTGGGTCTCTTTGGTGTGGGGAGAAGCTACACAAATAGATTTTTGTTCATTCTTGCCTGATTAGCAAAGAGAGAATAGTAGCTGCTGTATCCAAAGGAAGAAGAAAATGAGATTAACTTAAAAAATAATTCAGCCTCTCTGCACTTGTAGATATGCACAACTGTTCAACTCTCTTCCCCTCACAAAAATATCCATTTGCATATGCATTGTTTTGCAGATTTCCATACAATGTGTTAATTTTTCAGTTTGGTGGCAGGTCTGACTTGCACTTCGACAAATCACATTAGTTATAAGCAGCTATTGACTTTGCTAATACACTCCTTATGCAAACACTTAGGCATGTGCGTAACTTTACTAACATGAGTAAAATTATGTCTATGTTTTAAGTACAAAGTTAAGTGTTTGCCGGAATGGAACTATAGTCTGTAATAGAAGTTGGTAGAAGATTTGTATTTGGATAAAATTAGTTTTAAATAGTCATTTGTTTTATAAGTAAAAGCTTTAAAAAAAATTATTGCTTTTTTTTTAAAGCAACATTTTAAAAAGTAATTGAATGTTGACATGGGGGGGTGAGAATGATGTGAGTGCTAGTAACAATTGGAGGGGTTATTTTAATTTTTTGTGACACCATTTTGTTGCTACCAGGGCTTCTCTCATTTTTATTGAACAATAATTTTATAAATACTATTTGTGATCTTGCTATTGGACCTTCTTTACTAAGAACTGTCGAAGACAGTTAAATATGGAAAATAAATATTTATTTAAGAATAAAAACAAAGTATTTTTCTTTTTTGAGAAAAGCCCTGAAATGTGAATTGTAGATCTAATTGAATCACATTGTGCTTTCTGAAAGCAGGGCAGTAATTCCTATTTTAATTGAATGTGTTCTTTTGGGTTCACAAGAAAAATAAAGAAACTTTAAAATGGTTACTTTTTTAATGCATAGTAGTTTGGAATCTACTATAATGCAAAGTAAAGCATTCTGTTACAAAGGCAGGGAGGATGGGACAGAAGGTTAAAGGGCATTTTGGAAACAAACAGCTGGACCAGTTTATTTAAACAGATACAAGGATGGGGAGCTGACCTCAGTTTGACTTCTAGTGGGAGGAGCAAGAATGTCATTTTATTACTTTGCCCAGAAGGAAAATGTTCTTGCATCTGAATTCACCCTGAAGGCATCCAAACACATGGCTGTTTTGCAGAATATCTCCTTCTATTAAAATACATATGAGACTGTTACGGAAGTGCCTGTGTATAAAATGTACTTAAAGTAGACATCCTGAGTGGTAGTGTGGGACAAACAGGTGAGAATGTGTTTTATTTCAGCGTGAATAGTTTATTGAAGTAAGATTCAAGCTACCTAATCTACTAATAATGTGTGTCCTTTGGAGGAGGGGAAGATTGAACAGTTCGGTAATTTGTACTAGAACATGCTCTCAGTTACTTGGTCTGAGTGAAAAGATTTTCTTAACTGAGAGTTTTCATGGAGAAGTAGCAAGCTTAAAACCGTTCCCCCATCTCAGGCGGCTACCAGAAAGGGTTCCCCTTATTCTCCAAGGACTTCCTACTCTGGCAGGTCTGGGCAGTACAAGGGTGGGATGCACATATGAAGAGCAAAAGCCTTCTGGACGTATCAAAATAAACACCTTATTACTTTGTGGGGTTTTTTTCCTACGAGAGTTGCTATGAAAATTGCTTTCTGCAAATGCCAGGTCCTGATATTAAACAATTTTCTAATTGGTCATGGAGCTAAGACAGCTAATGGGGGAAAAAAAGCAGATTTTTTAATTGCCTTTTTTACATGGTGTTTGTGCTACACCTGTGCTTGTAATGAGAATGGAGAATTAGTCTAACCTTCTGCTCACATGCTTCTAATTTTCATGGTTTATACAAGATAATAATGATGAACTGATTTGCAGCACAGTTTCTTGTAGTTTAATTTTTTGTATTAAAAGTGTCTATAAAAATTGATACAGAACTGGTACAGATTAAAGGATGACCTAATTTATGTGTAAGATTTACAGAACAGGGCCTTGTTTGTATGTGGGAGTGTAGAATGCTTCCAAAGTACATTTTGGCAAGACAAAATTGATTATAATTCACATCTTGATTAACTTTCTGAGGTTTTCTACAATGGGCATCAGTTAGGACAGTGAAATCTGAGGAAACTAAATGTGATTCAGACTCCTTTTAAGATACTTGAAGTACAAACTTTCATATGTTGTGATTACTGTTCCATATCCGTTTAGAAAAAGCAGAAGTCCCACCAGATTCATGTTGGAATGTGGTGGTACCTTTTACATGTTATTGCAGTGAAGATCTTGCTAATGTATGGCAAGCACACAGTGAAGACAAGTTAAGCACACTGCTTCACAAAACATACTTTGATCATTTATTTTGCCAAGTATAGTTTGGTTTTATTTCTAACATTCCTTTTCCACTAGTAAATACTGAAGTATAGTTTGTAAAAAATAAAGAAGTTTTGTTAAGGAAACCTCTCTAAGAAAAACCACTCCTAAATCTTTGCTGAGAAGTTGGGTGATGCCGACTTTTTGGAGGTGATGCTTATTGGGTTTGCTAATTAGTGAAGTTCTACTCTGGTTTGTTGATTATAATCCGGTGACTATTATTTTAATGCCATTAAGGCTGCAATCAGAATACGGTCAGGTGAGATTTATTTTGTGTTACCCATGTTTCCTTTTTTGTTTACATGTATTCAATTTGAATGTCACTTTCACCATAACAGTTCCAAAATTAATTGAGTTTAAGGAGTTAAAAATGATATGAATGGGATTTCAGATGACAAATATTAACTATTTTTATTTTAAAAGAGCTGCATTTTATTTGCAGTGGGGAGATTTTTGAGTACTACAGTAATTACAGCTAATAAGATGTTTGCTGTAAATGGTCAGGCCTAGCAGGAGAAAACAGGATTATAAGTTCAATTACTGTATAGCCATGACCTCGCCTTGACCTCAGACTTTGCATAAAGAGGAAAAAAAAGCACCTCTACCACCAAGAAATCTCTGCAAGGAATGCATTGCTCTGAAGTCCCCAGCAATGTGAGCTAGTGGTGATAAAACTCCAGACGTTCTCTCGTTTGATGGTGTACTGCCATCACAGTTCATTATCTTAATAGTGGGCATTAAAAGAGAATTAGTTTGCAAGAGGTGGGGAAGGTTTTGATAAAAATTGTAAAAAGTCAGAGAACATAAGATAGAAATGTCACTAATTAGGGGAAGTAACAGATGCCTTTATGAACATCTCTCTATCTTCACCAATTTTTTTCCCCTTTTGAATTGAAAAGAGCGGTGCTGGTATTGTTTCCTGAAAACTCTGTTAATTCCCCCATGAAAAGATGAAATGGAAGTGTCCAACTGTGGTAAAAGCAGGCAAACATAAATCAACTCAGAAACCCCAAGCTTGTATTCTCAAAGGTCATCAGGGGTTACAGGTTTTTCAGCCTTTGAATCTGCACATAGACCAACTGAGAGAACCAAATCAACCCTCAGTTTAGTAAAGACCTGGTGTAATAGGATTCTTCCTTTAAATAACAATTTGCTTTACTTTGTTGTTGCAG